CGCTATCTCAATAGCTTTCTCGTAGTAAATAACTTACTGAAATTTCATTCATCGCTCTAACTTTTCATAAACCCCAATGATGAGAACTACCTGCCCAGGTACATACTCAATCATAATTTACTCATTCATTTATTTATTATCAAATATTTCACTTGTTGAAAGGTACAATTGAAAAAAAGATAAAAAAACATATCTTTCAATATACAATAACAAGGAAAACGTCAGCTTTACATTTACAAATGATTTGCCAAATGAAAAAGAAACACAAAATAACATGGAGAGGAATAAAATCATCGATAAAATTCATCCAAGGAGTAGCAATTTTTTTTAATTAAAAAAGTTTCCAATCTTGATATTTATATTAGGGGCTGCCTTTATATTTACGTCTAATTTGTTGAAAATTTTCGGTCCGAGATAAAGATGGCTTTTCTGGTAGAGGGCTGTTCGATGTGATCGAGGTACTAGCAAATTTCCAGAGCGAGTTGGATAATCATGAGTTTGCTTGTTCGATAAAAAACTTGATTTGTTATTATAAACAAAAATACATAATTCATAAATATATATCCCAACAACCGTAAGAAGTTTCAGGTTTTTGAAAGAGCTCCTGTATGACTCTCTCCATCCAAGTTTAGCAATTATTCGGACTGCCGACTTTTGTAACATAAAAATCCTTTCCACGGACGAACCCGTACCCCAATTCAAAATTCCGTATCACAAATGACAATGAATAGTGGCATAGTTCAGACTTAGCAAGATTTCAGCATTACAGTAGTTAGACAAGAATCTCAACGCATAACAATTTTTACGTAGTTTTTCACAAAGAGAGTCAATATGTGGTGTCCAGGTGAGTCTGTAATCAACTGTGATGCCTAATAATTCAGTTTTCTTCAAAGGATTCTACATGAAATCATCATCCTTATATATACTGAAAATCTCGGACTCATTTGTAACCATAGTAAATTTCACCAGCACAGTTTTAGTTATATTGATTTTCGGGTGATTCTTACTTGCCCATGTTATAATTTGCTGGTATACCTCTTCAGTAATATCTAATAGAGTTGCCGTGTCTTTCTCTGTCAAAAGGAAATTTGTATCATCCGCATATGTTACCATGTGTACTAATGAAAGTGTTTGAAAATAGTGAAACAAGTCATTCGCAAAAATGATGAAGAAAAGTGGTCCAAGTGTAGATCCTTGAGGGACACCTTGCTCTTTTTTCCGTGGTTCACTTACAGTGTCATCAACAATCACTCGTTGAATTCTGCCATGCAGTTATGATTTAATTAACTTGTGAGCAGTCCCTCTCACGCCATATCGTTCCAATTTCTGTAGCAGTAGTTCAGGGTGTCGAAAGCTCTTGAAAAATCTATAAATAAACCACAAATGTGCAATTTGCAATCAAGAGCATTCATAATGTGTTCACTGAAATCACATATCGAGCGGTCCAACGAAAAGTATGCACCTTGCTTTTCTCCTTTTTTTATAAATTAACACAAAAATGCTCGGACAGGTCAATTTTGCTTTTGAGGGGGACACATTTTAGATGTATTTTTCTACCTGTGCCTTCAACCCCCTAGCGAGGGTGAGTAACAATCCTAAAATTTTAAATAGAAAGTGGGGTCGAGTGATATATCATTTGAAAGGGCACAAAATTCTCTTTCCAGTGATACTTAATTTGTTGTATTTACTTGAATAGTTATAAAAAAGCAAGAACATTCACTCGATATATTTGATGTTAATGAAAATGCGGAAAAAACGGCATTTTTATCACTAATACATTCCTCAATTTCTCTCGTGCGTTTTTTGGTACAAAAAACAACAGCAGATAAGTGTACAAAAAGAATTTAGGCAAACGTTCATTGATTCAGTTCGGTTGTTTTTGAAATTATTTCAACTTTACTGTGAAAATGGTTTATTCCATTCCTGAACGAGTTGAAATTGTTAAACTTTATTATCAACATAATAGTTGTGCAAGACTTACTGCTCGCCTCTTTAATAACAGTCATCCCGTGAAAAATGTGAATGATTCGTACGTTGCCAAGTTAGTTCAAAAGTTTGTCGACGCCGGATCTGTCTGTAATGTGAAACACCAGCCACGGAAACCGATCAGAAATGAAGCAGTGGAAGTCGCTGTTTTGGGACATGTTGAATTGGATCATACTCAAAGTACCCGTCAGCTTGCTGCGGCCTCAGGTGTCTCCCATTCGTCCATAATACGGATATTAAAAGCCAAAAAATCAGTACAGGAACTCAATGAAGATAATCCTGATAGAAGGCTGCAATTTTGTGAACAACTGAGCCAGCTACTAATTGATGATACGCACCTATCATTCAACACGTGCTTTTCCGATGAGAGTACATTTTTTTTTAATGTCCATACCCAGTACCCTCAAAAAATCAATGTCTGGTGTGGCATATTAGGTAGTCATATCATAGGGCCACTTTTTATTCCTGTGAATTTACCTGGTGAGGTCTACCTGAACATGCTTGAAGATACAATTGATCTTCTCATAACAGAAATAATTGAAAATGACCAAAATCATAATGATGATCGGTTTCATTTCCAGCAAGATGGAGCACCTCCTCACTATGTTGCTCCGGTAAGAGAGTTTTCAGATGACCGGTTTCCTGGGCGGCGGATTGGAAGGAGAGGCCCCATTGAATGGTCTGCCAGGTCACCTGATTTGTCGCCTTTAGACTTTTTTCTTTGGGAACACTTGAAAAATAAATGTCTTCGCCAACGAATTACAGCAGAGTGCAGAAATATAATACCTGATATGCTACAGAATGTTAGGAATAGATTTGAACAAAATCTGTATTATTGTATGGAAGCAAATGGGTCACATTTTCAGCACTTGCTGAAGTAGGATTCTTCTAAGTCAATTACACATTTCAAAGTACTGGGTTGTAGTTGTTTTTCTTCATAATATCTACATGTTTGAGTGAAATACAACAAATTGGGTATCATTGGAAAGATAACTTTGTGCCCTTTCAAATGATAGATCACTCGACCCCACTTTCCTTTTAAAATTTTAGGGTTGTTACTCACCCTCGCTAGGGGGTTGAAGGCACTGGTAAAAAAATACATCTAAAATGTGTCCCCCTTGAAAGCAAAAATGACCTGTCCAAGCATTTTTGCGTTAAGTTACAAAAAAAGGAGAAAAGCAAGTTGCATACTTTTCGTTGGACCACTCTGTAGAGCTGTTTCTGTACGCTTATTCCTTGTGAATCCATATTGATTTGATGAGAGAATGTTATTCATAGAAAAAAAAGGAATTATTTGATTTTTGATATTCAACTCAAAAACTTTTGATACACTAGAAAGCAAACTAATGCCCCTATAGTTTTCATACAAATTTGTATCACATTTTTTATAAATTGGTACAACATTAACAATTTTCAGTTTGTCAGAAAATATTCCATATTCTAGTGATAGGTTAATGATGTGATGCAGCGGATATGATAACTCATAAACACATTTTTTTAGGAACTTGTTTGAAATCTCATCATAACCACTTGCATCCGAGTTTTTTAGTGTTTTTATCAAATCAATTATGTCAAATTCACTAATGGAGTTTTGGTAGATGGGAACATTATTTTCCATTAATTCAATGTCTATCTCATTATGACACTCCATAGGGGAAAAAAGGGCATTGAAATTATTAGCCATCTGGATTTTTGATATCTCAACAGTACCATCATTCATTTCAATATTATTGCTTCGTTTGTCATTTTTCCTGAGATGGTTGATTACCTGCCACATTGTTTTCGATTCATTATTGGATTTTGCTATTATATAATCAACATGGCGTTTATTATTTTCCTTCAATTCTTCCCTATATTGTGCGTGATACTTGCTCACAGTTTTATAGCGATCATCTTCCCTGGCACACTCTGAATGAAGCGAAACCAAGCCTTTGAATTCCTGGGTGATAATATTAAAACTATTTTTTTTCTTTTTCTCTGTCCACGAAAACGAATTGGTGGAAAAGTCACTTCAATGTAATAATGAATTGTATTATGGAATATATCATACGAAAGACTTGGGCAGGTAATGCCATCAAGATCTTCCCACGACTCTCTACCCAGTAGATCTTTGAACAATTCTATATGTTCCTCTGAGAAGACTCTACCAAAATTACATGATTTTTCATTTCGTATACCATTTCGTTCAGTGGAGAATCTAATTACTTGAACAAAGTGATCTGAGATGTGCAAGTCTCTCACAAAGACTTCGTAAGCATTTTCATTTCTAATAATGAAATTATCAAGGCAAGTACTAGTGCTTGCTGTTGTACGTGTTGGAACAGATATCGTATGCTTCATGTCGAAACATGCCAGCTGGTCTTGAAATATTCATTATTTCTAGTTGATCACCATTTTGCCAGTGTTCTGATATAAATAAAAAGTCGCATAAAAAATCACAGTCGCTTATCACATCTATTTGAATGATTTTATTACTGAGACATTGAATATTTTGATGGCATACTGTTATGTCACGTAATCTATCCATTTTATTCAATGTATTTACACTTACAGCGATATTTTTGGGGCAACTTGTGATAGGCGAGGGTATAAAAAATTTGTGTTTTCATCATTTTGCTCTTCTGCAACAATTTCAAGATTTTCCTGGAATTCAGCTGCTAAGGAAATTCGATTCCTTTCGCTAGCCAAAGAGTAATTTTTTCAATAACTGATGACGAATTAGCTATTGTTCTGTTTTGAACAATTTTCATCCTCCACATAAAGTTCCAAATTTCCCGGCACAGAGAGCGTTTTGCTTTTGTTGATATACTGAATCCATTCATAAGATAATGGTATCTTCTCAGAATATTGTTGCATTCAAACACATGGATATTAGGAAAATTCATATAGTGTTGCGTCTTTATTTGTAATTTTCTGTTTTTATTACTATTATTATTGTTGGCATGGAGCGACTTCTAAGGGCGCATGCTCAAGACTCGATTGAAGTCTGCTTATCTATCAGAACCACAGATGAATAGTGACCTACCTACGATCTCATGCTAAGTACGCTACGTGAATCGCTATTATTTTTGCTAATTACTTATTTCACCGTGTGTGCTCTAGACTCTGTGTCATCTTCGACTGTTTGGTAACTCATTTAACTTCCCGTTTTGTTGTACAATCCAGTGAAGCTGAAGAAAGAACACTCCAAGAAAGGGCCCTTTCAGAAGCAGGGATTTGTGCTAGAAATTCGGTGAGTTCGCTTTATGCCACAATTCATACAGTCCACTCTTGTTTTCATTTTTATTATTTTTTAAGTATTCGAAGACGCGACATATAGGAAAGCTCTTTCTTGAGAGTCAGATTCTTTCGGTATATTAAGTCATTGTTAGTTCCGTTATATCGATACGGTTCAGTGTAATAAGGCATTTTCCAAATCGTGAGTCCTTTAAGAGTATTTTGAGCTATTTTATTCTAAATGTCGTATTTCTTTGTTTTTGTTAATATATCCACATCAACTACGGATGTTATCAGCGCTGTGATAAGATGTGAATCATATTACAATAATATTAGATGTACAGTATTTATAGATATTGGAAAATTTTGTAAAACTCGACGTTTTTTTGACAACTTTTTCTCTCTATAGTCAGGACACACCGTAATAATATGTTTCACATTCAGTTCTTCATCGCAGGAAATACATATTTTGTGGTTTTCTTTCTTCAGTAGGTTGCGATTAGCCATTCACTTCAGTGTTTATACCGGTTAGGACAATTAACATTTTGTTACCACTAGACGTGGCAAAGAAAGGAGGGTGATCTGCAATTCGTTAATTGCTTGCACCTGTTTATTAACAACTATGGGGCTTCGAGTTTTTGTATTGCCATCGAAGCGACTTCTTTGGGGTCTTTGGTTATGGTAATTCTTGTAGGGCATTTTAGGAAAAATGACGAATGGTCGCTATTGCAGTTGGGGTAGGTCGGCGTCTCTATTGAAGATGCACAACTGAAATCACTCTAGTTCAAACATTTACTTAGTCAAACCAACAAATCCCACACACCAACTCTCCTCGAACCTAAAATGAGGTATAGTAGGTTAATCACCATGACTTTACTATCGATACTATTGCATTTTACTTACTTTTCTTGAAGACTGAATATATGCAACTCTCCTGTTTGAAGATCCAAAATCAAACTATTCGCTGTACTGCAAATTGGACAACCCCAAATTATAAATGATACACTGAACGTGACATAATTATACTTTGATAATAACACCAACACACCATGCATTACACACGCGAACCTGCCACGTCAACCGCCATGTTGAATCAAATGTCGAATTTAACGCAAATGTACCATGCATTAAGGGACACCCGCTTTCACAGAGCTTATTCGACTGTCGCGCGCTACACTTCAGTTGACCAATGAGAAACGTTTACTCCAATTCTTCACTTCCCCATTTCTCTGTTTCCAGGATTTTTCGCTTTGTAATTAAATAATTTCAAATACAAAAAAACAAATAGGATGAGAATTAACCAATTTATTGATGCAACTGGTTCATTTATTGGCCCATTCAAATTTTTTTGTCGTTTCCAACAGTTGCTGTTGGAGCAATTCATCCAGAATCTTCGCGTTGAGTTCAAAAACTGGTTAACACTATCAGGGTTATATACATTAGGTTATGCATTCGATTAAGATCTCCAAATATTTTTGTTTTTAATAATATTGAATTATTTGAATACGTTATTATAAGATAATTCAAAATTCCATTGTATAGAATATTCCAAAATATACCGTGGGGATATATTCTAAGAATATACCATATGGCATATTCGATCGACAATATTCTTAGAATATTCAAGGGAGAATAATCCATTTATAGACATTCTATGCACATTCTTTCGGGAATAATCCTGCCATATTCATTCAAGCATATTCTATGAATATTCTAAAGGCATGTATATATTCCAAGAATATTCTATGAATATTTGGAATATATACGTTCGTTTTATGATATAAAGGGAATATTCCATGAATATCTAGTACTGGGTGGGATGTCTGATGAGTATTCGTCATATTGGTGTTGGCAGTGAATGGGTAAAGTTACAAAATGAATACGACTTGATGGTTTTGGTCAGGTCCTGGAGGTCCTGTCCTGTTAACAATCCTGCCGTGTTGGCAGCATCAATTAACGTTGTTTCTGATGAATGTCTGCTAGTTGAATTTACCTGTCACCAGAGTTTCACCTCAAGTACCTGAAGTTGGTCGTATTTTATCTGAGGTTTCACCTCAGATAAAGAAAATACGACGAATAAAGAAATAGGTTTTACCTATTTCGAGAAAGTATGTTCTGGGAAAAACGCAACTAGGCTTCGAAAGGTGATCTGCTGGAAGGATCGTTACCCCACTTCGCATCAATCACTCACTTTACTGAGTACTAGTGTACACGTTAATATTTAACACTTATTTTTGTCCAAATAATTTATCTTCTTATTCGAACGTTGAAACTCTATTATGCGGGCTTTGAATGTTCTCACAGTTTGATCTATGTAAAACATCGGACATGACCCACATGATAATTCATACACTTGGAATTGAATCAATCAAACGGTATAAAATTCAATATTACACTCCCGGACAATAATAATAATAATAATAATAATAATACATTTATTATTTACCAATACATAAAGTAATACAAATTAACTTTACAAAACAAAGGTATCAAATGCAGGTAAATAAAAAGAGAACAGTTAGACTCTGCAGCCAATTCCAACAAATGCTAAATTGATATCATTTGATGTGAAAACAATATATTTTCCAGTATTCCTCCGAATGAAACGATTACTTTTGTAGGGAATATATTGGATGGGAAGTCTATCAATCCGATAGTGAAAAAGGAAATATTAGACTTGTCTAATATTTCTGTGTTCGTCACAGAATTACTTTGAATTCAATGAAACTTTTTACTCATACTGCGAAGGTCTCATAATGGGAAACGCACTTGGTACTATTCTGGCAGATACTTCTTTAGTGTATTGGTATAGATATGTGGATGATATCCTGGTATGTTTCACAGGAACGAACAAACAGTTGACTTTCTTAATTTCATCAATTCTCTCCACCCTTCTATCATATCAGCAATGGAGATGGAAACGGACTACTCTATGAATTTTTTTGACTTGAGCTTTTTGAGCTATTTGAGATATCTCGATAGAGGCGAGTGAACACGGCAGAGCAAGTAGAAGTGGTTGAAAAGATTTGAAGCTGGTATGTTCTTCAATGTTATTGCATGTCTGAGAAGTACACACATCGGAAAAGTCTAGGGATGTTTTTAAAAATGTCAATATTTTTTTTTAGATCACTTTAGGGAAAAAAAGTTAAATGCTCAAAAATAAGATTAGTTACCGTTTTTGCAGGCTTTGTTCAACCCATAGAAATCTACAGGGTGGTCGAGTGTACCAATTTAATCGAAATTAAACGACCTCATGCATTTATTTTTATGATATTTAGTATGTTATGAATATATCCCTAGACTTTTCCGATGTGTGTATTTGTCATATCGGTGTTGGCAGTAAATGGGTGGAGATACAAAAAAAATGACCTGATGGTTTTGGTATTTTTTTCACCTGAGGTTTTGCCTCTTGTTCCTATTTCGAAAGAGTATGTTCTGGAAAAAACGCAACCAGGCTTCGAAAGGTAATCTGCTAGGAGGATCCGTACCCTACTCTGTATCGATCACTTACTTTACTGAGCACTACTGTACACGTTGATAGCTGAGACTTGAATTCATCAAGACTTGAATATTTTTTTTCCAAATAATGAATCTTCTTATTCGAATGTTGAAACTCTATTATCTGCGTTAGGCAACTTCTCTTCCAGCAGTCATTGGAGACTCACTAGTTTTTACACGCTTCGTAATAAAAATTTGATAATAAATATAGTTTAAAAAAACTAAAAAACAAGGTTTTAAAGAACATCGAACTGAAAAGTTAAAAATATTTTTTTAATACGCTTGAAACAATAACGATCGAAAAATACCACTATTATTGTGACAAAAGCATGGGCGCTTTGTGCCATATTTTCTGTATATCTAGCGCCTAGGCTTTTTACACAATATTACTAGTATTTTCATTGAATTGGAAGTAATTCTGTGACAAACACACCGTTAGCAAGTCTAATATTTCATTTTTCACTACTGGATTGATAGAGTTTTTGTCCAATATATTCTCCACCAAAATAATCGTTTCATTCGGAGGGATACTGGGAAACATTCTTTACATCGAATGAAATCAATTTGGCATTATCCAGGAGTGTAATATCTTGAATTTTATTGATCAAATGGTATGAATTCCTCAAACTGAATTTTGATTTGAAATTGGTGTGGTTTTGAATAATTGCAATGAGTTTTTCGGATATTTTAACTAAAGGAGCTGTGACGAAAGAAACTACCGGTCTTATCGGGTAGTTATCTTTGTGTAATTTAACTAATGAATACAATTTCGATGGTTGTGGGTTCATGACTAACGATCGGAATTTTTCCTTTTCATCCATGACACAATGAATATTTTTCAAAGTTCCCTTGACTTCTTTCTGATATAAATATAAAGTTCCAAACCTTTCTTCTGGAAATGAAGGGGCTTGTATTCATGGTTGAAATCATGTCCCTCTGTGATTAACGGAGTGGCATGTGTGGAATTTATTTTTCCATTCTGGAAACTATATTTGTATTCCTTCATGCGGGCTTTGAACATTTTTCCAGTTTGACCTACATAAAACATCGGACATAACTCACATAATGATTTATAAACTTGAATTTCATCAATCAAATAGTATGAAATTCAAGATATTACAGTCCCGGATAATGTCAAATTGATTTCTTTCGATGTAAAGAATCTGTTTCCCAATATTTTTCCGAATGAAACGATTATTTTTGTGGAGAATCTAGTGGACGAAAAGTCTATCAATCTGGTAGTGAAAAAGGAAATATCAGCCTGGCTTACGGTGTGTTCGTCACATAATGACTTCCTATTCAATGAAACTTTTCACTTATCCTGTAATGGTTTCATAATGAAAAACCCACTTAGTCCTATTCTGGCAGAGACTTTTATTGACGATTTGGAGAGAAGAATACACAGTAACCCACTGGTAAGAAGTTTCGTGTTTTGGCTGATATGTGGATAATATCCTGGTATGTTTTACAGGAACGAAAAGACAGTTGACCAACTTTTTGGATTCCATCAATTCTCTCCAACCTTCTATCACATTCACAACGGAGATGGGAGAGGACGACTCTAGATTTTTTTTGAATTTAACAATAACAAAAGTTAACAACAAACAAAAACGGGCACATACAGATATTATCATTCATAATTTGTCCACCCACTCGTATCAGAACAAAGTAACAGCTTTCAACAATATGATCCATAGACTGATAAATGTGGCCTTGTTAGAGGCGAATTTAAAAGAAGTGAACATAATCAAACAAATAGTCGTCAACAATAGCTTTGAAAGAAGTTCACCCAATTCGAAGAGGATAAAAGTTATAGAATCTTAACCTACTTAGGCCAACCCACTATAAATATTTCAGATTTTCGGCACAGCAAAGGTGTAAATATTGCTTTCAAAAGCAACAACAATTTAGGCATGCACATTAGGAATAATAAAGATGGAAGTTCAGAATCATCATGTGGGTCATGTCCGATGTGTTATATAGTTTGAATAGTATTTCACCATTGTCCATCAAATGAAATCGGATGATTGCTAGGATCTTAAAAGATCCTAGCGTATATAGTCAGAAACGACAGGCTCCGATAATTCCAGAGAGTGCTCTGTTGGAGTGCCTCACTCACAATGGCTGCAGCTTTGTTTTTCTCCAGGCGCCTGAGGAAAAACAGAGTTCCAGGACTCGATGGAAGAGGGCTGGTTCTACATACTTCGCAATCTCTCGTGTGAGGGTCGTGTAGAGCTGGTATATATATCGTCATCCATAAGAGTGTAAAATCGAAAACACTCATCGAGAGCTATCACCTGATCTCTCGTATGAGAAGTGAACCAAACCCAATCGGGGCAGGTTCCCCGCAAGGGTCCTGCTTGTCACTACACTTGTACTCTTTATATACGCACGACTTCCGATATTTTCTAAAAACGAATGTGGGTATCTACGCAGAATCTTTCAGGATTGGCTCACTCCAAGGCATTCCTTCACCCTCTAAACCTTGATACCAAACAGTTGTAGGGATAAACTACGATGTCTTAACAGGCTTTCTTACAGGTCAGTGTCCTTTGAATCATCATATGTAGAGACTCGGACTGTCAGAAGACAATGTGTGTCGCCTTTGTTTGGAAAATGATGAAACAGCAGAGCACTTGTGTTGTGCCTGCCCCGCTGGGGATCGAAATAGGTTTTTAGAGTTCGGCAGAGCCGTACTATCACCATTCGATCTGAAGGACCACTCACAATACACAATAATCGGCTTCGTTAATGAGCTGGGTTTATTTGGTCTAGCGTGAATAGGTGTGAGCCACAATGAACCCTTGTGCATTGCGGTGGAGAC